CAAAATCCAAAACAAAAATGATTTGTGAACGTGTTTTTATTCAGGGGTGTCTTGGGGGTCCTCAACACGCAACTTACCCAAGCAAAAAAGCTTCTAAGAATTATGCAGTAAGTACAACATGGCCCTACTTTTGATATTTTAATTCATTTTTCATGAACAGTCAGTGTTGAAATCTAGAATTAGAAAACTTCCCGATATCTCTTTTCTCCAGTTTACTTCCAGCAGATCACTTTTCCTTTTGTACCCTTTAAATAAATTAATCCATTTTGGAGCACATTCTCTATCATTCTTCATATTTAATCAAGGCAAGCTGGGAAAGCTGTTTCCAGCGCATACAACTTCCCTCACCCACAGGCTCAACCGCAGCTGGGTATTCAGTTGGCAAACGTCTGAGGATAAGCATATCAATGATATTTAAGCTTACAGCTCTGCATTTTGTTTTTAAAATACTGGTAAGCTTGAGAGTCAAGTCTCTCAGCACGGTGCAAAGCAGGCTCTTGAGCAGCAAACTGATACTGCCTTCAAACGATGGAGAATATATATCATATTTTCTCGAGTCTAATGTGCACTTCAATTTTCAGAACCTTGAAACAAAAAAAAGTATTTGCTGGCAAATGTAAATGTGCCGTCGAATCTAATGTGCACCTTAATTTTCGCAACATTATTTGGCCAAAAAAGGTGAGCAGTAGATTCGAGTAAATAGTGTGTGTGTGTGTGTGTGTGTGTGTGTGTGTGTGTGTGTGTTTACACACACGTACGTTTGTGTAGAGAAGAGCTTTCCAAACTTTTCATGTTGGAGACACACTTTTGAGACATGCATCATTTGGCGACACAGTAATTCAGTTTTAATAGCAAACCAGAGGTTAAGCTAGCCCCTTTCCAGCCCCAGGAGGAGCGCAGGGAGCATTTGTGCGATGCAGCCAACACACTAACGTGTCACAACACAGAAGCTTGGGAAGTGCTGGTGTAGAAGATTATAAGTGTAAAAAGTCACCCACCCATGATTTTGTTTTAGCTAAAAGAGTGCCTCCAATTCTAATCCCAGCCAGACGGGTGGGGCTACAAATAACAAAATTATTCTTCTTCATTTATCATTATAATTAATCCCCAGAACGGCTTCCATCAACGGGTTATCGTTATCTTTTACACCCTGCTTTATAACACCCCCTGCGCCAAGTAAAACAAAAACCACACAATGACCATCACGCCTTTTATCCCCTTCCTTACTCAAGCGGAATAAACGCGCAATGCCACGAGGCTGCCGCCCCGCCTCCCTTAAAAACAATATGAATGAATGAAACTAAAGGTTTTTTATTTAAAGGAAAGTCGCCTTTAATCGTGAACTCTTTATATTGCGTCGTTTTCCACAATTAACGTATCTATGGTGAAAACCCTGTACACGTAGCATTGGGTGCGGGATGGAGACCCAACTCAGCCTAATGCAAAAATAAGGAATGCGTAACTCTTCCATTTCTAGCTCTATGCCCCGTTCTTCCTGGACGGGAGCCGATTGCCAGACCCTGACGCGGACTTTCAGTCCATAGAGCCTAGAAAAAGAGGAGCGTCACTCTTCCGGTTTCTGTTTTGAAAGCTCTTTCTATCCCATTCCTTTCCATCTCTATGGTCCCCTTTTTTTTGTTTTCTATCGGCTTCAATTGCAAGAAAACCGGAAGTACGGGTCTAACCCCTTGGAACGTCGTGACAGGAGAGCGGAAAGAGGAGGAGGAGAGCGGTGCTATTGAGTTGTAAGGGGAGGTTTGGGCTAGAGAGGTAACGGAGCTTTTACTCTTTCTTCCGGAGGAACGAGGCGGGTCGGGGGAGGTCAGAGGTCGGAGGTTGCCGAGGGAAGATGGTGGCGCGCGAGCAGCTCCGCGTGGTTCGCTGCGGCGGCAGTTGGCTGAGCGGGAGCCGCGCGGTCTTTTCGGCCGATTCGAAGTGAGTGGCGCTGAGGGGATCAGTGGGGGCTTTTCAGGAATGCGAACCGCTTAAGCCGCGGGGCTGCGGCGTCAGCCCCGTTGAACGCGGCTGAATTTACTCCCGAGTAAGACTCGCGTCTAGACTCCACATCATTAGTATTATTCAGACACGTGCTCAGACTCCACATTATTATCATTAATTATTAAGACGCGCGCCGAGACTATTATTATTATTATTTATTAAGACATGCTCTGAGACTACTATTATTAATTTTTTATTATTTTTATTAAGACACACCCCAAGACTCTATTATTGTTCTTTATTATTAAGACACACGCTGAGACACTTTATTATTATTATTTATAAGACACACGATGAGACTCATTATCTTTATTGTTGTTGTAATAATAATTACTATTGGGATGCAGGTGGCGCTGTGGGTTAAACCACAGAGCGTAGGACTTGCTGATCAGAAGGTCGGCGGTTCAAATCCCCGCGACGGAGTGAGCTCCCGTTGTTCGGTCCCTGCTCCTGCCCACCTACCAGTTCGAAAGCGCATCAAAGTGCAAGTAGATAAATAGGTATCGCTCCGGTGGGAAGGTAAACGGCGTTTCGGTGCGCTGCTCTGGTTCGCCAGAAGCGGCTTAGTCATGCTGGCCACATGACCCGGAAGCTGTACGCCGGCTCCCTCGGCCAGTAAAGCGAGATGAGTGACGCAACCCCAGAGTCGGTCATGACTGGACCTTATGGTCAGGGGTTCCTTTACCTTTATAAGACAAGCGATGCAACTCATTATCTTTATTGTTGTTGTGATAATAATTAATATGATATAATTGCTACAATTAATAGTATACCGCCGTGTTCCAGAAAGTCGCAGGGCGGTTACAACATAAAATCACCAACATAGAAACGCAAAATACATAACAAAAATAAAAACAACCCACTAACACACACACCCGTCGTGTTTTGTGGGTTTTTCTACATAAGGCTGAGTGGGCTGTAGGATCACACACAGTCTGAGGTGCACTGTTTAGGTTGGTTTTGTTCCAATCTTTTCCCTTTTTAATTTCCTAAAAATTATGGTTTCAAACAACAACGACTACCACAATTAAAAAAAGAAAAGGATGCCCAGAAAAATTTACTGCCATGTTCTAAGATACACAAAAGTTAAAACACTAAAGCAGGTTTAAGATGACCCCAGCTGTCAACCGGAACAAGAATATTTTTAGCGGGCACCGGAATGAGTACAGCAAAGGCGCCTGTTTGCGCTCAACAGGCAGGGAGTTTCAAAGCGCAGGCACTGCTACACTAAACTATCAAAATATAATTGCAAATCCAGAACGGGCATTCTGTGGCAACTGTGGTGGTGCTGATTCTGCCGATTAAATGTAGGGATAGGTATGTTCTGTTAAAACTGAATTTTTCTTCATGGGGATTTCTGCCCCAGTATCGGCAAGCTTTTAAGATCTTTATAACAGTGAAAGTAATGAATGAGGAGAGGAGTGTTACACTAGATCAGCATAAGAAATTGTCTTATACCCAGGCCTTCTGCTCTACCACTGAGCCCATACCTTTTTCCCCTTAGAGTTTTGAAAAGCGCATATATTATGTGGTACAAACAATCCAGAGAAAAAGAGGCTTCTGATAAACTGGCCTTTTTAACAGTCCTTAGACTTCCTGGAACTATGACAAAAATGTGTTTAAACCACATGGTAATAAATGCAACACAGTTCATTCTCCAGTTATCTTTTGCTTCCATTCCCTCTTGTCAACATGTTTCATCCCTGTCCCAATCAAAAAATTGATCTGTAAACTCCTTTTATTCTACTCTTAGCACCGTGTATATTAATGCCAATATGTTTAAAAAGCGTGTTTTGGTCTATTGCTATCATTTGGAGAAACAAAATACAAAAATATTTATATAATTTTTAAACAGTTATATTTCACTTTTCTGTCTCCATATTAGGCACGCATGGCAGCTTGTGTTTAGTATTTAAATGCCATTACACGTGGCATTTAAATACTACATGACCTGGTTCACGTGTATCATTAAGATAAACCAGTGGTTAAAATGCACTTGCAGGAATCATGGCCACATCGCTTCTTTCCCCCAGTTGTCCTGCTCTGCACCAAACTCAGCTTTGGTTTGGTATAGCCAAGGTTTGTTCAGCTTACCATGTACGGTTTGTCTGGAGGTGACAAGCTACGGTCCCATGACTTCAGTTGCTAACTCCCACCCAAAATTAGCTCCAGATAGCATGGCAGTAGGAGAACTGGAAGAAGAGTAAAACAGCTACAATTTTTACTGAGAGTACTTGCATATCCGTACATTCATGGTTTGGTATTGTATGCATTAGATAGGAACTGGACCATACTGAAAAATAGTCTGATTTTCCTGTACCTTTGGCAGTTGGGAATTGGTCTTTTACATGTAATGCTGGATGTGAAAATGGACAAATATTATCTAATATGCTTCTAGAATTTTCCAAGTTAGCCTATGTTGTTTCTGTCAAGTACTATAAATGCCTTTTAATTGATTTCTGGCTTTGATTTCATTGTTTATAGATACCTTTTGTGTGCTTCTGGTGACTATGTGAAAGTCTACAGTACAGCTACAGAAGAATGTCTGCATGTTCTCCAAGGTCACAGCAACATAGTGACAGGAGTCCAGTTGAATCCCCGAAACCATCTACAGGTTGTTAAAATTTTAGCAATGCTAGTCCTATCTTAGAGCCAAACTACAAGCAGCATATGTAATGTAATTGTCATTAAGTGCAAACTTTCCCCCGCCTCCTTGTTTGGAGAGGGGCAATTTGGATTAGAGGGCCTGAGACAGCAATATACAAGAGGGAAAGGAAGCTCCCACTGGAGCCTCTTTTTTCACTGCAAAATTTCAGAACCACATAGGGACCATAGCAGAGGGCAAAGGATTTAAGTTCCCTCCCCACATATGCCAGGGTCCTAATCAACATCAGGGCACCAACACTCACATTTATGAAAGAAAATTGGCACTCAAGGGAAAACTGGGATAAATATCCTAGGTAATTTTGCTGGTGCTTAACGGTGACCTGCCCTATAATCTTTGAATGAAGGGCAGCATAGAAATTTGATATATTGTTGCTGTTGTTGTTGTTGTGATATGTTGTTGTTGTAATCCCAGGCCAAATCCATGATTATGGCCAGGTATGAGTATAGCTCAAATGGAGCAAATTATACCTATTCTGCAAAAGTTTCTTATCAATTCCTGGCCCAGTTGAAAATGCTGGTGGAAAACCTATAAAACCCTGCCTGGGCCAAGGTCTCCATAACTTAGATAACATTTTTCTCTCACCCTCATGTGCAGATCTATAATGGAGATGCTGCTTCATATCTTGTCCTTTATGGACATAAGAATTTGAAAGGACTCAAGGCTGCATCTTCCTTATGTGACAGACACAACTAGTGGAACAGTCTGCTCAGTGATGTGACTAGCTACATCTCTGCTGGTATTCTGGTTTCTCATAGAATACATTTCTTCCCTTTTAAGAGCGGTCGGCGCTAGGACATACTTATTTGGACTTACGTCGCAGTCGTTTTGTCAGCATCATAGTTGATTTTGATTATCATCCCATCTCTGGGCTGTTTTTCTCGTACATGTGCTTGTGTGTTATATCTTCAGCAGAGAACATGTGCAGTTTTAATTAAATAAGTAGTAAGAGCTTTTTTCAAAGTTGTTAGAACCACTTCACATTTTGTTAGCATTTTTGTCATACACGGGGAGTAATCAGCACTGCTAAGAATCAAAATGCTTTGTAGATAAACCAGAATAGGACCTTACAAATCATTTTAATATGTCTTTTTTCTCCACCAGCTCTATTCCTGGTCTCTAGATGGCACTATTAAACTCTGGGATTTTATGGATGGCATTCTCATCAAGGTTTGTTATGTTTTCTTTGCATCTGTTCTTTCTCCATAGCAGCCCATGGGCTTCTCATTAGATTAATGAAATGGTATGTATTGGAGTGAATAAAACAAATCTCTGTGATTCGTGAGTAAATGCTCTGTTTACAGACCTGGATATGCTTTGCCACTGCTATGCAAACTGTACTGTGGCATCTTGGTTGATACGAGTCATCACTAACTGCATCTACAGTGGAATCCTCAATATAGCTACTCAAAACTAAGACTGTTAAGTTGAGCAGGACTTATTCCCAGCCAAGTGTGTATAGGATTGCAATGGAGTAGGGGAGCCAATGGGCTCTTTTCAGCATACGAGTGTCTAGCTTCAAAGACTAATAAGCAGGATCTCTTATCTTCTTACCTACGAAGGCTTAGAATGGACAGTGTTTTCTGTTGATGATTCATGACTGAGATGAGCTGCATTAGAGATGGGGAACCTGTGGTCATCAGGAAGATGATTTACTACAACTTCCATCATCCCATGCTGACAGGACTGATGGGAGCTGCGGTCCAAAAACGTGTGGAGTGCCACAGGTTCTCCATCCCTGAACTGTATGCACAACTTTATTGATAATTGTGCCTAATTAAAAACCCATTCCACACCTTCTAACTAGCAGGGTTGTATAAACTTGCATGGGTTTTCAGCTTAGTTTTTAGATGAGACTAAAGAGATTGATTTTGTGTATGTGTGTGTTTTCTCTTACAGACATTGGTTGTTGGGTTCAAACTCTTTGCATTCTATGCACTTGCGGGATCTGAGAATTCGGTGTTTGTTATCATCTCAAAAGATAATGATGAAAGATCAGGTATGTCATAATTGGTGCTCTTGTAATTTTGTTACATCTTGTTTTTTATGATTGTTGTTAACATGAGGACTGCGAGCCTTTTTGCGGGTTTTATTGTTAAGTAGAAAGGCAGGATAAAGAAATTCTTTTCCCCTTTTGTTGCTGTTTTTTCTTTCCCTTGGGGGGAAAAGTGGGGTACATATGAGCTTCGTCACATCTTAGGGATTGGTTATTTATTATAGACTATTAGTATAGACCATATCAAAAGTGAACAAAATAAAATACATGTAAACTCCACATAAAAGTACACGTGAGTTCAATGCTGAACATAAAAGTATACCTAAAATAGAATTTTGTATGTGATGGGGGATGGGGTAGGATCCCTATAAGGAATAAATTCCCAGAGAGGAAATTTATGTATCACTTAAGTTTAAGTCCCCTAATGGTATACCAGCTGCAGTAGTGGAAAGGTTTGCGCAAGAGAAGGCATAGGAAGCCAGCATGGTTCTAATGTTTGGTTGCAGCTCCAATACCTGTTGCACAACAGACTTCCGCTAGCGCAATGGTTGCGCTGTATTTTATATTGTGCAACCATAATTCTTGCCCTTACACTAGCACAACACCCCTTAGGCTGGCAGAGAATGCTGAATCCGGTCCCCTGTTTGTTTTGAATGCTCCTGCTATAGCAGGGTGGTCCGCCTTTAATGGCAGTCATCAGCAACAATCAAGAGATAACATCTTAAAACCTTTTTTAAAAAGTGTGTCATATTTTGCTAACAAAAGCACATGCATCTGTTTGCGTATTAAATTTGTGTAGCAATTAGATCTATTAATTGTGTGTTTAATTAAATATATTTAATTAATATATTAATTACATATATTTAATTACATATATTGTGTATATTAAATAATATTAAATGCATTGTGAACACTTCAATTTACCATATGGAAATTTAGTTCAGTGTGTGGCAGCACTCCTGCATCCCACTTGGTATGAAAAGTTGGACCGCCCTGTGCTGTAGGACAGCAGAGGAGTAGAAATAGGTTTCTTGATTTGTGAAAAAGATGCTAAGCAGACTTCTTAAAACACTATGTTGTTTTGGATTTGAACATTTATGGAGCGTGGAGGCATAGATGTCATATATGCTGCTCAGAACTTGAAGCCCAGTCCCATGAACTGCTTTTTCTGGCTGGTAAGCATTTATGGTTAGGGTGATATCCAGTGACTGCTATATCAGCACTATCTGTGGTATGCTGACACAGGAAAGCCTAATCAGTGCAGAATAGGTGGGGTGGGACTACACAGCTCAGAATCTGCATGCAACAGCTTTGCGAATAGGGGACAAGGTGCACTGTTACCGTGAGTGCAAATCCCACCCCCGAATTAGTGGGATTACAGATTTATTCCAGTTCACTGCCTAGCACGGGAAGAATGCTTTAGGTGTTTTAGTATAAGCTGCTGTATCACAAACAGGTATTTAGGTGTTTTAGTATAAGCTGCTGTATCACAAACAGGTATTTTATTTAGAGGATCGATGAACAGGATCGCAGATTAAAAGAACTAATGGTAGGAATGGCTCGCCCCAATGCATTTAATGCTCCTCATCTTAGTGTGGCAGTCATGCTTAAAATGAAACACTGTGCTCATCAGCTTTTGCCAACCTGCTGGAGGGCATCAGGTTGAGGAGATATACATTGCCATAATTTTGTCTGTAACTATAAAAGTTTGCACAGTGCGTGTTAATTTCTGCCGAGCATTGTGGGGGGAAATATTATTTAACCATAGAATTGTAGAGTTGGAAGGAACCAGGATCATATTGTCCAACCCTCTACAATGCAGGAATCCTTTGCCCAACGTGGGGCTTGAACCCACAACCCTGAGATTCAGAGTCTCATGATCTACCGACTGAGCTATCCCAGAGTTTCATAAGGCATGTTGCTGCATTGGCTAGGAATCAAATCTAGGCCTCCCACATGGCAGGCAAGAATTATGCCACTGAACCACAAATGCTGCTATAATTCACAGTACACTTAGTCTTTGTGTAGGCTTGTTAGGAGAATAAACTGAGGCAGCATTGTTGATGTCGCTTTGAGTTCTGGGGACGACAACCAGGTGCATATATGATAAATAAAGGCCATACAACAAAATACAGTCATACCTCAGGTTACAGACGCTTCGGGTTGCGTACCACGCCGAACCCGGAAGTACTGGAACGGGTTACTTCCGGGTTTCGGCGCATGCGCAGAAGCGCTAAATCACAACCCACGTGTGCACAGACACGGCGCTGCGGTTTGCGAATGTGCTTCCCGCACAGATCACGTTCGCAACCCGAGCGTCCACTGTAGCCTAATTGCACTCATGCTAATGAATGAGATAAAAGTTAGGTGTCATCAAAAATTATTATTATTTCATCTATATGAGAATAATTGGTTTAAAACTTAAATAAATTTTGTTTCCATCAGGTCCATTTCAGCTAGCTTCACTGAAAATCCCCAAAACACCGGGTCAGGAAGTAGAAGCCAGTGAGCTGGAATTGATTTTGGATGGTGTAAGCCAGTCACCCAAATGTACAGCGCTTGGAAGAGAAGTATATACCTTTTCTTTCTTTCTTTCTTTCTTTCTTTCTTTCTTTCTTTCTTTCTTTCTTTCTGTATATCATATTAGAGGTCTGCATGCACAAACTTGATGTCAAATCATCCTTCTTTACTTCCTCAGCTCTTGGAGCATGCACCCTCTTCTTAGCCTGTTCTCCGACCACAGCCTTACTCATTGCATTCCTAGCCTCTTTGCCTTGGCTGCCCACTGTAAAATCTCAGAAATTTTGCCAATCCAATGCAGAGGCCCTTCCGCTTTCTCTGCTTTTCCATGAAATGTGGACAGAGTAGTCAGTCACTGCCAGGACGGCTTTCTAACTACCATAAAATCCTTTACCGCATTACAGCGTAGGTGTTCTGCTGTAACTGTCATATTCTGTACAGTTGGGAAGAAATTCCTCTCTAAAACTTCCTTATTTGTGACCCTGGACACAAAATACCTGTATTTCTCTCTGCCTTAAGGGGGTATCCAAAGAGCTACCTTTTTATCTGTTACCTGTTGTGTTCTCAAAGGAATTTATCACTTTTATATGTGGTCTGCTTTTCAGGCTGTTTTGGAAACACTTCCTGTTCCAAAAACAGGTTAACAAAAGGCAGTGGGGTGTATGGCATGTTTTTGTAAAACGCAAGCCCAAAACTCCTTTGGGTACACGCCTATGTCTTAGGATACCAAGAACCACATGGCCAGTTCTGTGGAGCCAAAGGAGCTTCAACCTTCTGGTTTGCCGCCAGCAGCTAGGCTGACTACACCCGTGTTCAGCATCTTTGCTATGTTTCTTTAAACTCCGCTTTCGATCCAGATCTCAGGGCACCTGAATTAGCCATCATTTCTCTTGAGATCACTCTGGGTAAAAGCCATGGAGGAAATGTCTGAATTTGATTTAGAAGGGAAAAAGCACTGGTTGCAAATATACCATTGTGCTGCTTTAGCTGACTTGCATAGCAGTTGTCTGTCTCCTGCAGTTTGCCCATCACATGTTCTAATTTTTTTTTTATCATACATTTTAATCCACTTGGACTCTGGTATGTACTAAACTATATTTTGTTTATAACAGGGTGAATATGTGGTATCTGCTTGCGGCGGTCACCTCGTCGTCTGTTTCTTCAGGAAGAAGAAGCTTTACAGGTGAGGGCAGACAACTCCAGCTAGTAATTGCTTTGCTGCTTTGAATATGCATCTGTTGCTTCTGAACTGGCCAGGAATTTGCTGTTCCTTACAGAAGTGTCCGTAGCCCTGATAACACTTATGCTTATTAATGAAGAAAAGAAAAGAAAAACCCACATGGTGATATCCAAACTGTAGTTGGAGTAGACCAATTGAAATCAATGTGTTTAATTCTATTGACTTTAGGGGATTTATTCTGAATATGACTTAGCTGGATATCTCCCAGCTATTAATATCTTTGGAGAAGGAAAGGCTAAAGAGGAAAAGGTGAAAGTAAACCGCTTCTGGTGCAACAGGACAGCAGGACGAGTGCCAGAGTGCAAGGAAATGCCATTTATCTTCCCACCGCAGTGGTACCTATTTATATACTTGCACTGGTATGCTTTCGAACTGCTAGGCTGGCAAAGCAACGGGAGCTCACCCCGTCGTGCAGACTCAAACTACCAACCTTCTGATCGGCAAGCCCAAGAGGTTCAGTGGTTTAGACAACAGTGCCCCCGCTCCTTTTATCTGCTAAGGAGTAAACCCTATACAAATGTGGAGTGGAATTTCCTAAGTGGATGGTGCCTTTGTGCCTCCTTCTGGCATCTCCTGCAGCCAAACTGGTGCCAAACATATTGCTCTGCTTTCCTTTGGACCACAGCGAGGCTGGGGGGGGGGGGGTCTTGTCGTCTGGGCAGTCCAGGATCTCCATACACACTATCCAGGTTTGACTTCACACACACACACACACACACACACACACACACACACCCAGCGCACTCCATTGTCTCTTGAGACAAATGAATGCCAACAACAACAAAATGAACCAGTGATAGTACTGTAAATCCCATAGGATAAGGCTTGGAGGAGCAATAGAAGCTGCCTTCTATATAATCATTTAATACGTCCAGACCGGATTCTCTCCCAGCCGTAGCTGGAGGTCTTGGAACTTTCTGCATACAGAGTATGTGCTGTCCTGCCTGTACCTTGTAGGGACGCAGGTGGTGCTGTTGTCTAAACCACTGAGCCTCTTGGGCTTGCTGATCAAAAGGTCATCGGTTCGAATCCCCATGATGGAGTGAGCTCCTGTTGCTCTGTCCCAGCTCCTGCCAACCTAGTAATAATAACAATTTATTATATGTACCCCATCCATCTGGCTGGGTTTCCCCAGCCACTCTGGGTGGCTTCCAACAAAGTTTAAAAATACATTAAAATGTCACACATTAAAAACTTCCCTAAACAAGGCTGCCTTCAGATGTCTTCTAAATGTCAGGTAGTTGTTTATCTCTTTGACATCTGGTGGGAGGGCATTCCACAGGGCGGGCGCCACTACCGAGAAGGCCCTCTGTCTGGTTCCCTGTAGCTTTGCTTCTCGCAGTGAGGGAACCACCAGAAGGCCCTCAGGGCTAGACCTCAGTGTTCGGGCTGAACAATGGGGGAGGAGACGCTCCTTCAGGTATACTGGGCCAAGGCTGTTTAGGGCTTTAAAGGTCAACACCAACACTCTGAATTGTGCTTGGAAACATACTGGGAGCCAATGTCGGTCTTTCAGAACCGGTGTTATATGGTCTCGGTGGCCGTCACCAGTCTAGCTGCCGCATTCTGGATTAGTTGTAGTTTCTAGGTCACCTTCAAAGGTAGCCCCACGTAGAGGGCATTGCAGTAGTCCAAGCAGGCGATAACTAGAGCATGCAAAACTGTGGTTAGACAGTCTGCGGGCAGGTCGGGTCTCAGCCTGCGTAGCAGATGGAGCTGGTAGACCGCTGCCCTGGATACAGAATTGACCTGCACTTCCATGGACAGCTGTGAGTCCAAAATGACTCCCAGGCTCCACACCTGGTCCTTCAGGGGCACAGTTACCCCATTCAGGACCCGGGAGTCCTCCACACCAGCCTGCCCCCTGTCCCCAAGAACAGTACTTCTGTCTTGTCAGGATTCACCCTCAATCCATTAGCCGCCATCCGTTCTCCAGCTGCCTCCAGGCACTCACACAAGACATTCACTGGTTCTGATTTAAAAGAGAGGTAGAGCTGGGTATCATCCACTTATTGATGAACACCCAGTCCAAACCCCCTGATGATCTCTCCCAGCGGCTTCATCTAGATGTTAAAAAGCATGGGGGAGAGGACAGAACCCTGAGGCATCCCACAAGTGAGGGCCCAGGGATCTGAACACTCATCCCCCACCACCGCTTTCTGGACACGGCCCAAGAGGAAGGAGCGGAACCACTGTATAACAGTGCTCCCAGCTCCTATAGACAGTCCAGAAGGATGTTATGGTCTATTGTAACAAAAGCTGCTGAGAGATCCAACAGAACCAGGAAACAGCTCTCACCTTTGTCCCTAGCCCGCCAGAGATCATCAACCTAGCAGTTCGAAAGCACGCCAGTGCAAGTAGATAAATAGGTACTGCTGCGGCGGGAAGGTGAACGGCGTTTCCATGTGCTCTGGCTTCCGTCACGGTGTCCCATTGTGCCAGAAGCAGTTTAGTCCTGCTGGCTCCATGACCCGGAAAGCTGTCTGTGGAGAAAGCTGGCTCCCTCAGCCTGAAAAGTGAGATGAGCACCGCAACCCCATAGTTTCCTTTGACTGTCCAGGGGTCCTTTACCTTTACCTTTACTTTGTCAGAGTGAGCACAATGGAAAGGAAAACTGCTGAAGTTATACAGAAAGAGCATGTGTTCTTCTTGCATGTTCCTAGTGGCAGATACTACTGCATCAGAAATGCTTCGGGGGGGGGGGGAGATTTATGCGATGGTTGCTAGTACATCCCAGAAATGGAAAGGTATTCCCCATCCACCTTCCTTGCACTGTTGAGCAGCCAGGGATTAGTTGACATTTCTTTCAGCTCAGTCCAGCCAAGCTAACTTAAAGCCATGACTCCTGTTTTTGAAGCTTTTCTGTAGATGGGAAATCCAGAATAAGCGACTTCTTCACCTGCGTAGCCTGCCACCCAACGGAAGATTGCATAGCAAGCGGACACAGCGATGGCAAAATCCGGCTGTGGTGAGACAGCTGCTATTGGCAGTGGTTTTCTGATCAGCATGCATATCCTGCCTTGCTGTAATCTTGCAGTGCAAGTCTGCAGTGCAAAGGCACAGTTTTGGCCTCTCCTCCCTGCCAAAGCTTGCGATAAAATGAGCCTCTGATTCCAGCAGAGAAAGCTTCTGTCTTAGAAGGTGTTGATTATGGAGTGGTAAAGATATTCTTCACCTGGGGCAGCTGGAGGCAAAGGAGAAGAGGCCTGCTGTACAATTGAATAGTTGTTGGAAATATTTACTCTAAATCTTCATACTTGAATAGTGGCAAGAGTGCATATCTATAAGTGAGCAAGGGCTATTTATTTGTTACATGTATAGTCCAGTCTTCTTCCAAAGAACTCAAGAGTAGCTTACATATGGTTCCCGGGGCTTAGTTGCAGTAGTAGGGTTGCACCATCTGCCTACAGACCATTCTCATGGTTATTGGTAAAAGACCTGGTATTGAGGCTTCTGGCCTTAATCCAGTTTTAGTTGTCAGTGGGCAAGTAACCGAGGGAGAGGATGGATGCACCATGTGTATTGGAATACACCTTGGGATGTACATCCCCCTGGAAAGGACTGCAATGCAGGTGGACCACATTTTATTTGGGCTTTGAATGCGCCATCACCTTTAGGCTTGCAGTTTCCTCTCTGGTGAACAGTCCCCATGTGAAAGCCTATTGATGCCAACAGAGCTCTTTAGCTGAATCTCAGTGCCATGTTTTTATTCTGTATGCAAAGCACAGGAGAATATAATTAGAACCCAAGAATTATCATAGGTTAGCCGTTTCCCAAGGTGCTTCATGTATCTCTTTGTGCACCAGTCCTCCTCCTCAAGATCCCTGACTTGGAAAGTTTGCCCTAAATTGAATGGTTTTTTCCCCCGCACTAGGAGAAATTTTAATCACAAGAATGACTACACGTACTCCACAATGCACTGGCACCACGGTGAAGTTATGGATCTCGCTTTCACTGTTGAAGGTAACGTTACCCAAGCTAGGAACATTTGCTGTTTCAATTCTCTCACCTCTCCCATCAGCTCACCAGTGGCCTTGAGCAAGTCACTTTTCTAGCAATCTCTCCCCATGCAAATTCACCCATCTGCAATATGATAATTCTGAAATTCTACTCTCTTGTATTTGATTTCTGTTTTCTGTGCGTGGCTTTGAGATCCTTTTGAATATGAAGCAATTAAGAGAATTTCTCAACAGATTCCCGACATTCTCTTCAGAAAACGCTTGTGAACTGCTCTTGATATTTGAAATATGCTATATAAATGCACAAGGGACGCGGGTGGCGCTATGGGTTAAACCACAGAGCCTAGGACTTTGCCGATCAGAAGGTCGGTGGTTCGAATCCCCGTGACGGGGTGAACCTAGCAGTTCAAAAGCACGTCAAAGTACAAGTAGATAAATAGGGACCGCTCCGGCAGGAAGGTAAACGGCGTTTCCGTGCACTGCTCTGGTTTGCCAGAAGCAGTTTGGTCCTGCTGGCCACATGACCCAGAAGCTGTACGCCGGCTCCCTCGGCCAATAAAGCGAGATGAGCACCGCAACCCCAGAGTCGGTCACGACTGGACCTAATGGTTAGGGGTCCTATATAAATGCACAGCAGTGTCAAAGCAAAAGAGTTAGATCTCCTCGATGCATCTTGCAAAAGTCTGGAAGTTTAGAGATGGGATTGTGGCAAAAGCAATAGAGTTGTCTGTGTGTTGCGTAAAGACAGATATAACTAATCTGGTGCCTTCAGCTCCAGCCACCATGGCCAATTTTGGGGGATGATTGGAGTTGTAGTCATATTGTGAGCACAGGGTTGGCTACCCCTGCATAAAAGTGACATTAAAAGCACTTTTAATGTGAGCGTGCTTCGTTCCATTCCCTTTGAGTTGTCAGGCAGAAGTAAACTGTTTCAGTTCTTCAACAAGCAGAGGAAGTAGGAACTTAATCCTCTCGCAAAATAGAACTAAATAAAAATTGTTTTTCTATGTTGAAAGCTGTGAAGATAAAATCTTGTTGACCTCAGCAGGAACTTGCAAGTGACCCACCGCAGTGTTTATTTTATTCTTGGCTTCTCTCCGAAACAGGAAGCAGTTTGACCTGGCAAGTGGGAGGATTTTGTTGTGTTGCAACATAACTATTTGCTTCATAAACACAATCCAGTTTCTCCTGATCTTCTTGTTGCTGGGTTTTTTCAGTTCTTATAGTCGGGCACACAAGATCCCAGGCAGTCTGTGTCCACATGTGCGTATATTTATTTATTACACTTGCATTTGTGTCCGTATGGCAATTGTGCACCAAACTCAGTGCATGCCTATCTACTGGGAAGTAAATCCCATTGGGTTCACTGAGCCTTAATCCCAGGTATACGTGTATAGGACTGCAGCCTTGGTCCTTTTCAGCATCTAAACCTAGATCAGGGTTGCACAACCTGTGACCTTCCAGATGTTGTTGGACTACACCTCCCACCATCCTCGATCACTGGCTATGCTGTCTGGGGCTGATGGGAGTTGTAGTCCAGAAACATCTGGAGGGCCGAAGATTGTGCACCCCTATCCTAGATTAATGTATATGGCAACAGGTAATGATGCCCTCCGAGACTGTAATATCCATGGAGAGTAACCAGGTCTGTGGCAAGTCACATTGCTCCAGTTGCACTGAGCAGTATGCTGTGTGTGTGTGTGTGTGTGTGTGTGTGTGTAAAGTGTTACATTTCTAAGGCACACACATTTTGTTCGGTTTGATAGGAACTAGCCTCCTGAGTGGCGGAATCGAGTCTGTCCTAGTGCAGTGGCGAGGTGGGTCAGATGCAAAGAAAGAATTCTTGCCCCGGTTGGGATCCACAATAGAGCATATCTCCGTCTCTCCAGATGGAGCCTTCGTTTGTACCTCGCATGCAGATAACAGTAAGTCCAAATGGGGGAGAGAAACCTACCTCTTTATAATGTCAAACAACCGTGGCTGTTTGGGTTTTGAAAGGTGATAACCTCCTTAAATCAGTCATTTATATCCAAGCAGCTCCAGCTTCAAATTTCCATGAGCACCTGAGCCATGGATTGGAAACCAGTGATAGCCCTCTAGGTACTGTAGGACTACCAACTCCCATCAGCCCCAGCGGTCAGGGATGATGGGAGTTGTATTTCAACAGCATCTGAAGCCACCCCCACCTCCCGGCCCTTTCCCTCCCTGCTTTGTGATTGGCATCTCTCCGTTTATTCTATAGGGCTTGTGGGGAGGGGAAGGGTTGCTGTCTCTGGATTTATATTTTTCTCCCCTGTCGCTCCATGAGGATCTTCCTGCCTGCCTCAGTTAAGCCCAAACCCAACGATGAACTGGCTTTCTTTCAGTGCCAGTTGTATGCCCGGGGTTGGTACTGGTTTAAAAGACCCTTCAGCAGCTCTACATATGAATGAACAATGTTTACAACGGCGAGGCTGTGGTGCTCTCCCAACTGGAAAGTAGTTCCAGAGCTTGGGGGCCACTGCTGAAGAAGCTTGTTCGAGAATAACTCCCAGCCCTAATAGTTAATGGGGCCTTTTCAGCCAGTCTGAAAAGATTGGGGAAGTACTCATGGGGGAAAGAGTTCTCTGTTCCCTAGCGAAACTGATTAACAGGCTTACAAGATCAGCACCAGAACTTTTGATTTAGCACAGCAGCCAGGGAAGCAAATCTAGGATGGGTGTGGCATGCTCCTTGTATCTCACGCCAGGCTCATTCTGAAGTAACTGATTTCCAATCCGTCTCAGCCCCTAGCATTAGTTACTAGGGTGTGTTCAAACATTTAAAAGTCCCTCCTTTCAAAGAAGGAATGTTGTTGTTTAGTCGTGTCCAACTCTTCGTGACTCCATGGGCCAGAGCACGCCAGGCACCTGTCTTCCACTGCCTCCTGCAGTTTGGTCAAACTCATGTTAGTAGCCTTGAGAACACTATCCAACCATCTCGTCCTCTATCGTCCCCTTCTCCTTGTGTCCTCAATCTTTCCCAACGTCAGGGTCTTTTCCAGGGAGTTTTCTCTTCTCATGAGGTGGCCAAAGTATTGGAGCCTCAGCTTCAGGATCTGTCCTTCCAGTGAGCACTCAGGGCTGATTTCCTTCAGAATAGATAGGTTTGATCTTCATGCAGTCCGTGGGACTCTCAAGAGTCTCCTCCAGCACCATAATTCAAAAGCATCAATTCTTTGGCGATCAGCCTTCTTTATGGTCCAGCTCTCACTTCCATACATCACTACTGGGAAAGCCATAGCTTTAACTATAAGGACCTTTGTCGGCAAGGTGATGTCTCTGCTTTTTAAGGAGGGAATATCAACTGGCAAATCTAACTAAGGCTGACCATATGTGCTGTTGACCACCACATCAGTCTTGGCCATACCAAGTGGAGTTCTGCATCCAGTAACGTCCCTGAGCTGCAAGCCATATCTGGCCATTTGAAGTGCACCATTTTTTTCTGAATAAAACGTTTTATGCCCAGGGAAGGCCATCTGCCTCTAGAAGCTGTTGCATGACAAGTTCCCCACTCCTGTTCTATGGGCTGATGCAGATTCTGAATCATCATTTGGTAAACAATAGGCCTTTTAATGCTCTGCCAGCTTTCATTCTTAACCTTATTAACTTTCTTTTAAAACTCCTGTAGAAATAATCATCATACACAGCAACTTGAAGGTCTCCACAGTCATTCAAGGATTGAGCAGAGGTATGTTTGCTTCAGAGAGCTTATTTATATACCTGCGTATCTCCTTTTCTCCAAAGAAACTGCATTCCAGCTCAAACCATCTGTTTCCTTTCAGGCAGTGACGTCAAGGCTGGCTTGATGGTTGACCCTCGAACTAAAGCTTTGGTTCTGAACGGCAAACCAGGCCACCTGCAGTTCTTTTCGCTGCAAAATGACAAGCAGCTTTACAATGTAAGTTAGGCCAGTGATGATCTAATGGTAGCTCAGGACCCACTTGGTATGTGTTATCTGTGCTCTCGTCACAGTGGCAAATAAGGCTGAGGTCTAGCAACAGTAGTTGTGGCTGCTGTTTGGGGTTGTTGGGTTTTTTTTAACATTAACTGGACATATAATTTCTGCATAGAAACAAAATACTACTAGGGCTGGGCGGTATCTGGTTTTCAACATCATGATATATCACCAGGTAAATGTTGTGTACTGATACAGTGGTAACTTGGTTCTCAAACTTAATCCGTTCCAGAAGTCCGTTCCAAAACCAAAGCGTTCCAAAACCAAGGCGCACTTTCCCATAGAAAGTAATGCAAAACGGATTGATCCGTTCCAGACTTTTAAAAACAACCCCTAAAACAGCAGTTCAGCATGAATTTTACTATCTAAGGAGATAAAATGAAAGCAGTAAACAATGTACTGCAGTCACACACGCAATCAATCAGTAGCTGAACTGGGTTCCACACAGTCACAAAAACAAAAAATAAGAGCTGCCTAAACAAAAATGCAAAATAAATAGCAAAAACAGACAGACCCCAGCGTAGCACTCAAAACGGAAGTGTGGCACTCAAATTGGAAGCATAACACTCAAAACGGAACACATTCGACCTCCCAAAAAAGTTTGCAAACTGGAACACTTACTTCCGGGTTTGCAGTGTTTGGGTTCCAAGTTGTTTGAGTACCAAAACATTTGAGAACCAAGGTATCACTGTATATCATGATGTCTGTAATAAGGATAGAGCTATGTAGAGACATTGGCTGGCTTCACGGTTTTTCCCACATTGTTATTTTTGCATAGCATGCGCACACACACACATATACGCGATGTATTGATATATTGCCCAGCCCTAAATACAACCCTGGCCCAGATTGCTAGAGAACAAGTAGTGAACACAAGGTGTGGGCTGGCAGTGTTGCTGTAGGTAGGATGAGGCTAAAGTATTTCAAGAAAGGCTTTGCTGGAAGTAGTGGGGAAAGCAGCGCAACTCAGGGGTGGGAAGAAGCTTATCAGATGGCATTGGGATGAGAGTGGGTGATGGGAATAAAGAGGTACAAAGTGCATATGTGTTTCTTCTCCAGTAGCTGGCTTCACAGTGTTGGTGTTGACCTTTAAAGCCCTATACGGCCTCTGCCCAGTATACCTGAAGGAGCGTCTCCTCCCCCATCGTTCTGCCCAGACACTGAGGTCCAGCTCCAAGGGCCTTCTGACGGTTCCCTCCCTGCGAGAAGCGAGGTTACAGGGAACCAGGCAGAGGGCCTTCTCGGTAGTGGCGCCCGCCCTGTGGAACACCCTCCCATCAGATGTCAAGGAAATAAACAACTATCTGACTTTTACAAGACATCTGAAGGCAGCCCTGTTTACAGAAGTTTTTAATGTTTGATCTTTTATTGTGCTTTTAATATTCTTTTGGAAGTTGCCCAGAGTGGCTGGGGAGGACCGGCCAGATGGGCGGGGTATAACTAATTAATTTATTGTTATTATTATTGTTGGGGACGCGGGTGGCACTGTGGGTAAAACCTCAGTGCCTAGGACTTGCCGATCGTATGGTCGGCAGTTTGAATCCCCGCGGCGGGGTGAGCTCCCGTCATTCGGTCCCTGCTCCTGCCCACCTAGCAGTTCGAAAGCACCCCTAAAGTGCAAGTGGATAAATAGGTACCGCTTTATAGCGGGGAGGTAAATGGTGTTTCCATGCGCTGCGCTGGTGCTGGCTCGCCAGAGCAGCTTCGTCACGCTGGCCACGTGACCCGGAAGTGTCTTCAGACAGCGCTGGCTCCCGGCCTCTTAAGCAAGATGGGCGCGCAACCCCAGAGTCGGTCACGACTGGCCCGTACGGGCAGGGGTACCTTTACCTTTACCTTTATTATTATTATTGTTATTATTGTTGTTATTATTCATTGACTGACTGACCTTCCAAATGTGCATGAGCCCATAAACCTACTTCATCTCTTCTTTCAAAAAATTGCAGTTGGATATTGTGCAGCAGGAGTATATTCATGAACACGGGCTGAACCAGATTGAGTTAGTGAAGGCTGCTTTTGATTCCGAAGGCAACTGGCTGGCTACTGTAGAACAGCGGCAAGGAAGCAGCAGTGATCTTGAAATGTACATGAAACTCTGGGCTTACGACGAGCAAAAGCAAAGGTACTCATGCTTGCATTGTCTAGCAAGTTGGCAGAAAACCGGTTGTTTCAGATAATGTAGATTTGTCAGTCTCAAGTGTTTTCATTGCCCACACTTGCTGCCCCCATTAAACCTGTGACAAGATGGGACTTGAGGTATGAGCATCAAAGGGAGCATGCATGTGCAGTTGTTGCGCGTCATTACTTTGTCCATGCACATGTGCGCACACAGATCCCCCCAGCATGTGCCCTAGTGGCATGGCTGCTCCTGTTCTGTGGCCGCTGTCATGTTGGTCGGAACCTGTGTAACAGTATCCACCAAGGCAGATATGTGCCTCTTACTATGGAAACAGAAGCTCCTGCAGCTGAATGGGACACATCTGTGGGCAGCCTGAGGAAGTGGGCCTGCCCATAAAAAAACAAGTCTGAAGTAAGAGACTAGGGCGATCTCTGCTGTTTCCAAGAACTCTTCTCGTTGCGAGGCTTTTGGGGGTAAGCTGAGAGTTTGTTTGGACCCAGAGTGAGAACCCAGAGGCTAAGGGAGGGTGTGTCTCTCTCTCACACACACACACACATGCATTCATTCATACCTTGGATCCCAAACACCTCGCAAGTTGAACATTTTGGCTCCCAGACACTGCAAACCTGGAAGTGACTGTTTCGGTTTGCAAACTATTTTTGGAAGTCTGACGGGGCTTCTGCGGCTTCCGATTGGCTGCAGGAGCTTCCTGCAACCAATCAGAAGCTGCGCTTTGGTTTCCGGACGTTTTGAAGGTGGAACGGACTTGCGGAACGGATTCCGCTCAACTTGCAAGGTACGACTATATATATGTAACTTTGAATCAATTACCATTTTATATGTAGCTCTGTACTGTCACAATATTTTAAACAAAATTTTAAAAATCCTTAAAGTAGCACCTTAGAGACCAACTAAGTTTCTTATTGGTATGAGCTTTCATGTGCATGCACACTTCTTCAGATAAGTGTGCATGCACATGAAAGCTCATACCAATAACAAACTTAGTTGGTCTCTAAGGTGCTACTGGAAGGAATTTTTTTATTTTGTTTTGACTACGGCAGGCCAACACGGCTACCTACCTGTAACTACAATATTTTATGTGTTGTTCATTTTTTTGTACACTGCTTAGAGATCCTTTTATTAGCGTTAAGCGGTATAGAAATTAAATAATCAAGATATCAAATTGAATCCAGTCAGATGAAATGAAAATGTAAAAAAAAAAAAAATCTCCATCCTTTTTATTTTATCTATCTTATTTTCTTAGGGAGGGTGGTTATAATGTCAAAGTATAGTGCTTACGGTGATCGCAATCCGACATAGAGTTAGGTGCCCTTAAGCACCGTGGCTTCAAGGAATCTCTCTCCTTTCTTGCAGCTTTACTCTGAACACAAGAATAACCATGCCACATGAGGATTGTGTCACAGCTATGTGTTTCCGTTGCACAGACGCATCTGAAAATATAACCCCGACTTTGGTAACGGCTGGCAACGATGGGCACTTCAAAGTCTGGATGCTACTGGTTGACAATGATGGTGAAAGTGAGTAAAAGGATGGTGGTGTAGCTGTAAAATACTACATTGTGCTTTTATTCACCATAGAGAGGGGGGAAATCCTCTTCTCTCTGTTTACTGATAAGGGCAGGGGACTTGAAACAAGGCAGAGCAACACTTTTATCCTTCCGTAGATTCACATAGTGTGCTTCTGATGCCTTTAGATTGTTTTTGTTTCATCCTCAGGTCAGAAACAAGAGGTTCCCACAGAAAACACAGGGCAAGTCTGGGATTGTTTTCTTTTTGGTTAATAAATTGTTTTTATTAGTTTTCAATTACAGTCCAATAATAGCCTAATTGGACGCGGGTGGCGCTGTGGGTTAAACCACAGAGCCTAGGACTTGCCAATCAGAAGGTCGGCGGTTCAAATCCCCGCGACGGGGTGAGCTCCTGTTGCTCAGTCCCTGCTCCTGCCAACCTAGCAGTTCGAAAGCACTTCAAAGTGCAAGTAGATAAATAGGTACCACTCCGGCGGGAAACGGCGTTTCCGTGCGCTGCTCTGGTTCGCCAGAAGCGGCTTTGTCATGCTGGCCACATGACCCGGAAGCTGTACGCTGGCTCCCTCAGCCAATAAAGCGAGATGAGCGCCACAACCCCAGAGTCGGTCACAACTGAACCTAATGGTCAGGGGTCCCCTTACCTTCAGTAGCCTCATTATAACAATATCAATTTACAGGGAATTGCTGGGTTTTACGGGGGGGGGTGGGTGTAAACTGAAATCAATGGAAAACTTAAGGAGCCAACTTATGGATTGGTTGCAATATCACCAGACACAAATTAGATAGAAATAATTGATTTTTGGACCAAGCTCACAAATAAAAAAAAATTCTTACAACATAAGGGTAAACTTCTGTCTAAAATGTATAATTTTTAATTAGAATGGGAAACAAAAGACAAGCTTGTTAAAGCTTCAATGACATACTGGGCAATAGATATAGGACACAACATAGATCTTAACCTCTGGGAGAAACTTTGGAAAAAAACGACCTGAAATTTACTGCATGTTATTCATTGAGAAAGAACTACTTGGAAATGATTCATAGATGGTATTTAAGTCCGAGTAGGTTGGGTAAGAATTATAAGGCGGAATCAGATACATGTTGGAAGTATAAATTGAACTAACTTTCAGAGGAGAGTTGCCGAATCATAAATGTAGAGAAGAAAACTTTAAATAAAGAAACTATAGGCTCTCCCCCCCAATCTTTTGCATCAAGTGAAGTCTTATCACAGATTCAAACCTTATAGTCCTTGCAGTTGGTTTGTTCCGCAGTTTGCGATCTCATCTCTTCTACCACACACCTGTACTTTCGTCAAATTAAGCTCTAATTAACAAGAGAACCTCTGCTTCTTAATGGCGGCATTGGAGGGTTTTCACCAGGCAAAGTGCTTTTCCACTCAGCGCCTCTCTGCCCCCCGCATTCCATGCCGGAGCGAGAGACAGGTACCGAGACGAACTGCAAGTGAAGCCCATTCCTCCTATCCCTGAGGGGGAGTTTGCAAGGATGATTTACCCTCGATCATCCTTTTTCCTTCACCTACAATCTCCTGCCTGCAATCTATTAAGGCAGAGCGGAACCAGAAGCCAAGTCTGGGATTGTTTTCAAACAAAAAGGCATATGTTCCTATGCCTGGCATTCAGCAAAAGACATATAGTACCCATTTAATGTGGTATATAGTGCCTCTTTAATGTGGTACTGACGACTCCTACAACACAAGTCTGAAATTGGCCTTGGACACATCCCAGGAAAAACAGCTGAGGTGGTCACACACCTCAACTATCCTTTTTCAAGATTTAAGTACTTCCTTCTAATCAAAACAGTGAGTCATGTTTGTGCCAGGAAAAGCCTACACGTTTGTGATCACTATCCCAGAATTGCTGTTGAAGTTGATGTCAGCAGAAATATGCAATTTAAATAAGGTAATGGCTTATTTAAGGTTTGATTAAATGCTCAAGGAGCGCACACAGTTAGGTATTAACTAAGTCCCCTCACCTGATTCCAGGATTTCTGCTTGCCCACAGGAAGTGTGGCACTGCTGTCTGGTGACAATGGCAAATCCCAGCCTCAAAAGCTTCAGCTATGGGCACAGGTCATCTCAGCAATTGCACAACAATCCCCATACCCCAGGCATAGGCAAACTCGGCCCTCCACATGTTTTTTGGGACTACAACTCCCATCATCCCTGACCACTGGTCCTGTTAGCTAGGGATGATGGGAGTTGTAGTCCCAAAACATCTGGAGGGCTGAGTTTGGGGATGCCTGCCCTACCCTCTTCCCAGCTTCAGGGTTAGGAAGAAGGTGGGGAGTGTTGTGGCCACAGGACCAAACAGTCAAGTGTCCCCTGCCACTCCACTTCCTGCCCTAAGAAGGAAGACGTGGTGGAAGGCTGCTGTTCCAATGCGGGGCCCAATGTGTAAGCCCACCTCCCCTCATGGAAAAGGCAATGAAGGATTCTTGGTCTTCTGCAGCCAAAGAGAGACCAGGAAACCTCCCTTTTTGACCGAAGGTCTGGATCGCCTTGCCACATGATGCATCTAAACTTTCAATGGGTGAGACAAGTGATCATAGTTCTTGGCTTGGGTAGGTAAAGGGAAAGGGGCCCCTGACCATTAGGTCCAGTCGTGACAGACTCTGGGGTTGCAGCGCTCATCTTGCTTTATTGGCCGAGGGAGCCGGCGTACAGCTGTCATGTGGCCAGCATGACTAAGCCGCTTCTGGCGAACCAGAGCAGCGCACGGAAACGCCATTTAGCTTCCCGCCAGAGCGGTACCTATTTATCTACTTGCACTTTGACGTGCTTTTGAACTGCTAGGTTGGCAGGAGCAGGGACCGAGCAACAGGAGCTCACCCCGTCGCGGGGATTCGAACTGCCGACCTTCTGATCGGCAAGTCCTACGCTCTGGTTTAACCCACAGCGCCACCCACATCCCCTTGGCTTGGGTACCAAAGCCAAATGGAAATTGTGGACCCCTGCCTTAATATTCTTACATACTATTTATCATGTTACTCAGTTTTAACACATCTGTCCTGTTATAAACGTGTGGGATTTCTTTCTCTTTAACAGATCAAAGCATAACTTGGGCCTGCGACTTCGTAGGAAGCTATCACAACTATCAAGCTACAAATTGCTGTTTCTCCGAAGATGGCTCTTTGCTTGCAGTCAGCTTTGACAAAATAGTCACTGTGTGGGACTCGGAACTGTGGGATCTGAAATGTACTTTCTGCCATCTTCCTGGGACTATACGGTAAGTAACCATGTGCTCCTTTAATTTAAATCAGGTTTGTTTGTTTTTTTTAAAAAAAAGGTTCATTGAAGAATGTAATGAAACTAACCTAATATTTCCCCAAAGTTTTAAAAGCATTAATCCTTAATATTTTCGTATCAGAAACTTCTTTATTGGGCCCTTCTGAGCTTTCACAAGAATCAATGGTTTTAAGGGAAAGATCTTTAAATAGCAACAAAGCTCTGTAACAAAACCAGCTTATTTTTTACATGTGTCCAGAATAATCTGCGCAGAACTAGAAATTGCATTGGGTGGGAAACAAACACCCATCTTCCCTCCTGCAGCCACCAGCCTTCCCTCAAATTTTGCCCCAGATGGTCCTCAATCCTCTGGAGCAGATTATTGGACTCATGGAAGTTTAGGCCTTGAGTAGGAAGTGGCAGTTCTGTCATGTGACATTGGGTATTGCCTACAGTTTGATTTCAGCAAGACTGCGGAATACCTTGCGCTTTTGGAATTACCTTCTTGCATGCTGCTTGCTTCCCCTGCCTAGTTTATTTATTGCAAAAGTTTCCTAAAGAAATCTTGCCCTGCTTTTTTTAGCACCTGCCCACACCAGTATTATCTTAAGGGGGATTACAACAGAACAGGTTTGCTAAGAAGCTGTAAGCTCTACAATTAGCCGAGAAATGCCTCTCTGTTTATTTAGAGTAAACATTTACCTGGTTGCAAGGGGGGGGGGAATCTCCCTTGTTGGAATTAGAGGGTCATAAAATAAGAGTCTGAGCGCAAACAAAATTGCTCTTGAGAGCGAGAAGAAAGAGAAAGGTTGTGAGACTTCCGGGTTAGCGCCTCCGGCAATGGCGGAATTCCTCTGATTGGGAGGAATCTGCTCCGTGGAAATCAGGGTCTGGCCGCGAAGGCGGAGACCCACTAAAAACCACAGGCGGGAGAAGCCTGTGGACGTGGGATTCGGCTGGCACCTTTTGCGCCTCCCCTACTCGCGGGGAAACCCGGTTTCGGGGATTCCGGAGCGACGTGGGGTGAGCGGCGCGGTGCTTCGAATCGACTGCTTCCTTCACGGAGTGAAGCCGCATTGCCGTTGCCGGAGAGCGCTGACTTTTTCCTGTGGACAATTGGACTTTAAACAACTACCCGTGAGTAGAACGGAAAATTGGATCTTTAAACATCTTAATTCGGCACCGAAACAGGAAGGTTTCAAACAGGAAGTCCGCCTTCCTCTTTTGTAAATAGATTGAGCAAAGACGCTGCAAGCTAAAGTCTTGGAGAGCCTTTTGTAAAGGACTAAATTTCCATCAGTTAAAATTATCAAACCCCCCTTGGAAGCAGGAGAAGAGGGGGGAAATTTTAGATTGCCTAAGCCTGCAGGAGAGAGAGTGAAGAAAGACAAATTACCACCGTTTTGAACCTGGGAACGGGCTGTCACTAAGATTGACGTTTTGGGAAAGTTCATTGACTGTGAACAAAATGTACGTTGACAGATAGTTAAATAAGAGAAAGATATTGTTTCCATTGTTTCCTTTTGCACTTAAAAAGGAGCAAAAATAATTGAAAGATTGAAACTAACTTTGTTGCTGGATCTGCGTTTAAAAGGACGGATACAAATAGAAATTGTTTCCTCTAGAGGGAGCTTTTGAAACTGTTGCAGGAGTGGAGCTGGGGAATTTTCCAGCTGCAGAGATAAAAGACCGTGAGAATTAGAGATTGACCTTGGACAAGAATGTCAACAGAAGAAGCCTTAGTGATTGCATTTTGCAAGATAAGTGCTTTATTGGAACAGCTTCATGAGAAGATGGATGTGATGACTATTAAAATTGATAATTTGGGACAAAAAATGACTGATTTGGGACAAGAAGTGAATATCCATACAGAAACTACTCAGGAATCGATTCAGGAATCTACTTCGACATGGCAAGTTGTGGAGAAGACGAGGGAGAAAGTTGTTGTAGAACCTCAAGTAATACAAGTGCAGAGAGCCCCAGTCTTAGAGAGACAATTTGATGAATATAAGCTGTTGCCTTCTATGATTGAATTTAGAGAAAGCCAGTTGAAACACGTCCTGAAATATCTTTTGGACTCTAGTTTTGACTATGGAGAATGGGCTGACCTGACGAGAAGGAATAAAGACATTGTTAGGTTGGAGCTTCCCCGAGATCTACTCCTCAGTGTCAAAGGAAGGAAATTAAGAATAAGATCAGCAGAAGATAAAGTAAAGTGCATGTACAAATATGAAGAAGATCTGCAGAAGGGACATGGAAAAGAGTTAATAGCCTCGGACAGAAGATCACCAGGTAGATGGACCATATGGAATTGATAGAAAGGACTGGCAGAATCCGAGACCAGGAAGAAGAGACGGTGGAAGAAGATTGGAAAAAAGTTTAAAATTTATTTATAGAAACATTGTTAAAATTAATGAGTGTTAGAAAAATGTTGGAATGAAATTACACGGCTTTAGTAGAAATGTTATAAGGAGTTAAGTACAAATAAGTTTCAGGGTATTAATGGTAAGATAAGGTTAAAATAAACTATGACAATTATATGACAGAAAATAGTGAAAGATGGAAAGGATTTGCTGAAATAATTAATAATTAGAACACAAAAAAGGGAGGTGGGAGGAGGTCGATGAAACAAGTTAATGAAAGACAAAGATATGGAAATATTGGATGTGTTTTTAATTGTTTTTGCTTTTGTTTTGATGTATTGTGTTTTTTGTTTTTTCATTTGTTATGTATAGCAATGTATTGATTTGTATTTTTATTTTTTCTCTTTTTTATTTTTCTGTAATCTTTAAACTTTTAATAAATATTATTTTTTTAAAAAAGAGAAAGGTTGTGTGGTGGTTTAATGGAAAGACTTCGGCCAGTCCTGACTCTTGAATCCCTGATTCGCCTAGGCATCAGCAGTGCCCATTGTGATCCACTTTTTAATGTGTGGCAGGTCTCCAAAACTGTAATAAACCACTCTCTTTTGAGCACACGTAGCCTATCACTTAAAATTACTTGCTTAAACTGTATACTAAAGCATGCAGAAGGTAGATTCCCATCTTTTACCCATCTGTGAGGTATGAGCTCTTGAGCCAGGATTGGGGAAAACAAAGCATGGCACCTAAGGCAGACATGGCTGGCCTCCCGCCTGTAACCATTTCAACCATGGAAATAGCAGAAATAGCTGCCTGAAGTGAGCTAGGGTTGTCTTAGATCAGGCATGGGCAAACTCTGCCCTCCAGATATTTTGGGACTACAACTCCCATCATCCCTAGCTAACAGGACCAGTGGTCAAGGATGATGGGAATTGTAGTCCCAAAACATCTGGAGGGCCGAGTTTGCCCATGCCTGTCTTAGATTATATAGTGACCCTACAGTGAAATATCTCGTGGACACTACTAATTAACATTATCTTTGTTATTTATTCTTCCAGAAACCTGTGTTTTGGGAGGCAGAGTTGTTCAAAATACCTTCTTGGCACCACCAACACTGGATTTTTGTGCTGTTGGAACTTGCTGAGCTGTACATGTAAGACCATTTTATCACCTTTTCTTCCTTCTTTCCTTCCTTCTGTTCTTTCTTTGATTAAAAATTGGTCATTCTGAGAGAACCCAAGGAGGCAAATTGCTTTATATTTCAGCTTAACACCAAATACTTTTAGTTTTTATTTATCCAGTCGTTGGAACCGTATCGCATAAAATTATACGGCAGGTATTGTTGCTGAATCCCCAACCAACCTCCGCTCCCCAATTCAGATCCTCCCCTTTGAAAGTTCTCTTAGCTGCATTCATGGTTTGAATTAATTGCAGTTCTGTCTTCCTTGGGAGTCTGTGGTTCTCCGTCATAATCTGGTTATTTTGATTTTCAGTGGAATGGAGTGCCCAATTAAATGTCATTGTTCTGCAGCCAGATTGTCTGTCTGAGAACATCGTCGCGGTTTCATCCCACTCGGAATACTCAGATGGTGAGCATAAAGACCTCTTTCATTTTTGTTAAGGATCACTGGCCAAAACTGCAGAACCCTACTGCCCAGGAAAATATTTTGCTTCCTTGGACTTGAAAGCCACTTAAAATAACTCTTTAAAATAGGCCGCTCTTGTCTACATGGAAACTATATCATGGTTTGGATCTTAAGACAAGAAAGTTTGCTGATGGAATGTTTCTCATCCCCCTTGTACTCAAACCTAGCTTTCAGGCTTCCCCATAAGCCTCTGGTTTTCCTCTGTGAGAACAGAATCCTGGACCAAGTGGGCTGTTCTTTTCCCCCACAACTGCATCCCCAAAATGCCCATCTATAAGATTGCTGGTACTTCTGAACCAGGCTGGAGCCTGGTGGGATTGCTGGGTGAGAGGACAACAATTGGTTGGCCTGAACTTCCTTGTGTCTGCACCCAAACCCCTTTTATCTAGAGCAGGCATCCCCAAACTCTGCCCTCCAGCTGTTTTGGGACTACAATTCCCATCATCCCTGACCCTGACCACTGGTGTTGTTAGCTAGGGATGGTGGGAGTTGTAGTCCCAAAACAGCTGAAGGGCTGAGTTTGGGGGCGCCTGATCTAGAGCAAGGTAGACTTTCCATTACCGAAGTAGGGCAATCTGTCTAGCAGACCTTTGGGATACCATGTCGCTTAGAGTCTTGCCCTGAGATCTGTTTTCTGGGTTGTAGATTTTCATTATAAGAAAGCTATTTTAATGAAAAAGGCCCCCTGACAGTCTTGGCACCGCAGAGCCTTTTAATAACTCTCACCCCCTACTGGGCTAGATCAGGTGAGCGATAATATCTTGTTCACATTCCTTGTTTTCTGCACGTGGGGTGGTTGTTGTCAGGGAGTTTAAAGTCTATGGCGGGGGGAAAACCTATTTCCATTTCAGGAGTTCCTTTTTACTGTTCTTTATCCTGCAATGTGTGATACTCTACAGCTGGGTTGGGCAGCCCATGGTCCTGCAGATGTTGCCAGACTACAATTCCCATCATGCCCAGCATTTAGCCACACTGCCTAGGGCTGATGGGAGTTCCCCATCCCTGCCCTGTAGCCTATTTCTCACTGAGGTGGTACAGTCCAGTGACAGGTTTACTAACTGACTGAGAACTAGGCCTATCATGCTGTATCTTGATCCATACTATTCTTTGTTGTTGGAACTCTGTAGACAGTGGACTGGTTTATTTAGACTTCGTTGATAGGTTCCCATATAAGTACCAGGAGCTATACTGAATGTATGGGTTTCTTTATCATTTTGTGATCATGCATTGACTTCAGACCTCAGAAAAGCAACGCGGAAAGCGGTTCTTAAAGACTAAAATTCTCTTTTTCTTCTTTTTCTTCCCCTCAGTATTTGTATTCAAACCCTGTGAACCGCAGCCTTTGTGTATCCACAGAAAGGTCTGCAGAGGCCAAGTCCGGTGTGCTGTCTTTGTTCCAAGAGATCTACCCGAGTCCATTCATTCAGAAAAATATCAGTGGCTCAGCCAATCTCAGTTTTACTTCTTGACTGAAACACTTGTAAGTGTTTAAATGCGCATCCGGGACAATATTGCAATGAGTTGTTAAGTGCTCAGAAAGCCAAGTTGTCGTGCTAGTCATTTCTGTAGCCCTTTTCAGCTCTGCTACCCTTACCTACCATTAACATGGTGAGACAGGACGAGAGGTCATCATTTAGCCGCAAAGCTCACAGGGGGACCTTGAGTCAGTTGAGAGGTAAACCTGAATCCCTCACTTCGGAAATCAATGTTGTGCCTGATTTCGGTACATATGAATTGCTCCCTTTCTTGGTATAAGAAGCTTTCTGGACAAGACTGCTTTAACTCAGAAATCTTCTGCTTCCTTTTTTTAATTACAGTGGTACCTCGGGTTAAGTACTTAATTCGTTCCAGAGGTCCGTTCTTAACCTGAAACTGTTCTTAACCTGAAGCACCACTTTAGCTAATGGGGCCTCCTGCTGCCGCCGTGCCACCGGAGCCCGATTTCTGTTCTTATCCTGAAGCAAAATTTTTAACCTGAAGCACTATTTCTGGCTTAGTGGAGTGTGTAACCTGAAGCGTATGTAACCCGAGGTACCACTGTAGTTCTTACTAGGGGAGATGGGCAATAGTTCAGTAGGTAGGGCAAGAGACTCTTAATCTCAGAGTCGCTGATTCAAGTCCCACACTGGGCTACAGATTCCCGCGTTCGGGTTTGGATTTGAATTTTGAATTTGATATCCCGCTTTATCACTACCCGAAGGAGTCTCAAAGCGACTAACATTCTCCTTTCCCTTCCTCCCCCACAACAAACACTCTGTGAGGTGAGTGGGGCTGAGAGACTTCAGAGAAGTGTGACTGGCCCAAGGTCACGCAGCAGCTGCATGTGGAGGAGCGGGGACTCAAACCCGGTTCCCCAGATTACGAGTCCACCGCTCTTAACCACTACATTGGACTAGATGACCCTTGGGGTCCCTTCCAACTCATATGATTCTGTTCTATTCTAGTCTAAATGTTAGCTAATCATGTGAGTTTCAGTTTCATAAGGGTAAAATCAGTCATGTTGACAAAGCTGTCATACATTGTTTCTTTTTGATTCCTTCCTAGAATAAGAGAGAGAAATGCCTTGACCACAGGGGTGCCTTTCTTCCACAATTTTATACGTACTTCTGTTTAAAACCTTTCGATCAGCTAAAAAATTGTCAGGTGATAGGATATAGACTGATAATAATGTCATTTTTACTTGTAGTCAGTTAAATCATGCAGTTTTATTTGGTCCCAAACAATACTGTCAAATACTAATGAATATCCCCAGTGTCCCTTGAAAAGAAAAAAGAAATCATTTCAAACAGCATTAAACCTTTCATGCTTCATGTTATATCTCTTCTGGATTTTGTTTTTAATGAGTAAATGCTTATATTTCTTAAGTGCATATGCTACAAAATAAATCATCTGGATTTTGTGCCATATTTTCAGACTCACTGAAATCCTACCAAAAGATTGTTTCTCGTAATAGTGTTTCTTCCTTCTGAATGTTTAGGAATTGATGACATTTAGCACAAAGACACCAGAAGAGAGACTTACACCTTCCAGCAGACAGGTAATTGTTCTTTAAAAGAAGTGAACAGGAATTCTAAATGAGTCTACATTCCATTCTGTGTGGTTTTATTGAACTGTATTAAAAATCGGTTTGACTTATATTAAGTTTTGGATCCAAAGATCTCCTTCTGGGTGGTGTGCAGTGCATCATGGTGGGACTGCAGGGGTAGAAGATCTACTTTGGAATAGACCCTTGGGCCCAATCTACCCAGTCAACTCTGTCATACTAGATTCCCATTTCAAGAGATTCTTGTCAGTAGCTTAGGGATATGCCAGGAATCTTGCTAGCATCCATAAAATGATAGGCCTGTGTTCTTAACTTTTTCAAACCTTGGGTGAAAACACAAGTGTTTGGGCCTCTTTTTTAATTGTACCATGGTGATTCTTGGGCTTGCTGATCAGAAGGCCGGTGGTTTGAATCCCAGCGACAGGGTGAGCTCCCGTTGCTCTGTCCCAGCTCCTGCCAACCTAGCAGTTCAAAAGCTGCGGCAGGAAGGTAAACAGTGTTTCTGTGTGCTCTGGTTTCCATCACGGTGTCCCGTTGTGCCAGCAGCGGTTTAGTCATGCTGGCCACATGACCCGGAAGGCTGTCTGTGGACAAACGCCGGCTCCCTTGGCCTGAAAGTGAGATGAGCACCGCAACCCCATAGTTGCCTTTGACTGGGCTTACCCGTCCAAGAGTCCTTTACACTTTTTACCTAGTTATTTTTTAAAAAAAAATATATCTGCATCACACTTGGACTTGGGAGGGGGAAAGTTCTATCTTTAAACTGCTTTATCAGTACAGAAATGCATGAAAAGCTAAGCTTTTGGCATTTGCCCAAATTTAAATTATGTCTGCCTAGGCAAGGATGAAGTGAGCACTTAATTCTGTTTATGCTTTACTCATAAATAAGAAGCGAGCTGGAAAAAAGATGCCTGCCTTTCTAATTTTTACAATTGCAAAAATAAAATATTTTTGTAATTACCCCCCAGTATACATAAAAAGGTACAACTAGCCCAACATAAAGCCTTATAACAGCCATCTAGAGCCATACAGTGGGCCAGGAAATAAATGGTGGCAGATCTCAGGCTGCGAATGGGACATTTGGCCCCAGCAATGTTCAGGAGGCCACCAATTTGACTTCACCCCTGGAGGCGCACTCCACTGTCTTTGGAGACAGACGGGTGCCAACAACAAGGAGCATAACTAACTTTTGAATAACATATGGCTGGATCCAACCACTAGTAATTGCGGGGAGTGGGGGGTGACTCTCAAAAGAAGCTGTTGGGTTTTTCTCTTAGCCTACTTGCTTGCTGTTAAAGTGTGCTGTCATTGAATTCAGAGGGATTCTCATTACAGCTTTGCCCTCAAGAACTTCTAATGGTTCTTTATATATCCAAAAAAAGGAGCCAGTCACTGTAAGGAAGCCATTGGGGACAAACCTGGGAATCCTGTGCCCCTCCGGAAATTGTTGGACTCCAATTCCCATTAGCCCCAAGCCAAAAGTTGGGGATTCTAGGGCAGGGGTCTGCAACCTTTAAGACAAAAAGAGCCACTTGGACCCGTTTCCGAAGGAAAAAAAAAACTGGGAACCGCAAAACTCGTCATTATAAAAATAACTTTTTTGTCACTTTTTTATTATTTCTTTGTTTGACCCCTCAGAATTACTCCTCCTCATAGAAATAAATGTTAAATTAACAAGTTACATTTTTTTGTGTGTTTGTTCTTCACTCCCTTTCAAAACAGTGACCAGCGTACATGCCCCTTACAATGTAGCGGGCGGGCGGGTGGGAAGGTGACGTTGGGACGGTGCGTGACTAACGCACGCACCGCCCCCATGCGACGTCACAGCCAGTACAGCACCCGCCACAGTGGGGAGTGTCGGGGCGCACAATGCGCCTCCTCCCCTCGCTAGTATCCGCCCCGGAGCCGCGGCAAAGGTGTAAAAGAGCCACATGCGGCTCCGGAGCCGCGGGTTGCAGACCCCTGTTCTAGGGCTTTGCTTGACTTTTCTCCGGTTGCACTTCCCCCTCCTTTAATTTAATAACTTTGGACACCAAAGTGGGTGGGAGGCAGGGATTAAGTACCCTGTTCTGTTCTTTAACTCGGGTCTGTTTTCTCCATCACCACTTTTTAGTTGGCAGTTGAAGAGAGCTTCTCCATGACTCCTTTTTACCTGCTACTGGGAAAGCACCAGCAACAGAACAAAGAGGCTACAGAAACTGGGAGACTCCCTGTTCAGAAGAACTTTGCACAAGAATCGCCTGCCGTCAAAGAAGTAAGAATAAACATGTTGCCTGTTCAGGAACATGCAAATACTGACTACCATTTAACAAGCTTTCCTTCTTATTGTGTCCTTTTTTCCCCCTTTCCTCCCCAGCTTCTTCACACTCCAGCTCATGTCTTACCGTCTGCCTCTTTCCTGTGCCCCATTTTTATCAACTCACTGCTGCTATCCAAAGCCAATAAAAGGTAAGAAGCCCTCAGTTTTTTAAACGTTTGTTTTCGAAGGGAGCCGACAATAAAACTGAACTTTACAGAACAAAAGAAGGTCGCGCACAACATTTTCCCCTATCCGCTTACATTCTGAGGTGGTGGTTCTTCGCGAAGCTGAGTTAAGAGGGCATTAACACGTTACCATTGTCATAGAAACAGAAGCATTTACACTGAGGTGTCCTTTGAAAATGACTCTTGCCCTATAGGAGGCACATCCACATTCACAAGAGATATGGGTGAGAAGAAAAGGTATTAAAACATAATTCTCCTATTTGGGAACCTGGTATGATGACACATATCAGGTGGGCTAGAGAATCTCATGTCTGAGGTTGCATTCAGACCCGGAGCGTTATTTCATAATTTCCTGATCATTAACGGTAATGTGTCAATTCTTACATTCCTTTGACACAGCATAACTTTCTTCCATTAGAGAACACTGCCTTTTTGATCAGTATACTGCCGTGTCACACTAAATTTTAAACGTTTGGAAAGGACAGTGTGCCAGAACACTGCCTAAAATTTCATCATGGAATTACAATGTAAAACTGCAGTTTTCTGGGTCACCAGAAAACTGGGCTACACATATTTTTTTCTGGAAACACACAGAATTTAGCACTAAACTTTGGCTAGATTCCACTAGTTTTCCAAAAGTGGCTTTTACATCATGCGAAAGATCACATAAGATGTAAATACAGTCGTACCTTGGTTTTCGAACAGCTTAGTTTTTGAAAGTTTTGGCTCCCGAACTCTGCAAACCTGGAAGTGACTGTTCCAGTTTGCAAACTAGTTTTGGAAGCTGAACGTCCGACGGGACTTCTGCAGCTTCTGATTGGCTGCAGGAGCTTCCTGCAGCCAACCAGAAACCACACTTTGGTTTCCAAATGTTTTGGAAGTCGAACGGACTTCCAGAACGGATTCTGTTCGACTTCCAAGGTACGACTGTAAAGGAAACATTGTGAAAATGGAATTAAGTGCTGTCTCAACACAGCCTGAGACTTGTGTGGCTAGGCCCAGCATGTTCAGCATAACTATTTTATAAAATACTGAAAGGTTTAGTGTGTATTATTATGAGAGGTTGTGTGTAAAACTGAATCTTAGCAAAAGCTAGTTTTAAAGGCACCTCCACTGCCTATACACTTCAGGAACATTTCTAGGCCTTTCCCGGCCGTGCCTGTTTACGGAGTATTTTCTTTGTGTTGGGATGCATTGAAAAGCTTAATTCCCTCCTAATTTGTGTTTCCTGCTGATCTCCCACTGCTTCAGATTATTCTGCGACCCTTATAATTCCCATTCTCTTATTGGTGACTTGTATGGAAACTTTTTTCCAATTTTAATAAGTCCACGTCCCCCGTCATACTAAAGCTTACTTATCATATTCATGAGAATCTTAAGAAAAGTATCTACAACCCAGCAAATATTCTAGCTCTGAGACTTGTTATAAATGTCTCCGTGGTCTCAAATGCACATTTCTATTGATCCTTCCGTTTGTATTTTTATAGCACTAGTGAAGTTGCCAATGAAGTGGAAATGGAAAGCGACAACAGCGAGAATGAATCGGAGGAGGAGGACACGGAAGTTGCTAAAATGGACTCAGAGGCACCACAGGCAACAGATTGTTTGGAGGAAAACATTCCACCTAAATTGTCAAAAGAACAAGAAAAAAATTTGCGCCAGTTAAGAAAAATGGACTACAGCTGGGCATCTGTTCTCTAGACACATAGTATCGTGGACTACATGTATTTATATTTCTTACCAATAATTCCACAAGATGTCATTCTTTCAAATAAAGGATTGCGATTTTCCAGGATGCTTCTTCACTTCTTGGAATAAATTGTAACAAGTGTCTCCCGCAGTGAAGTCTTTGAAGCAAGCATTTTTATGGTTTATTTACAGAAAATGTGTTTTGTAGGGGAAACAATTCAAAACAACTGCATGCTTCTATCTCTAGGTTTTATCCAAGGTCCAACTGGTTTTACAAAGTGTTGAGGTTTTGAAATGGGAGTTGCTCTAGAAATTGGAAGACTTGCCATTATTGTTTTCTGAAAGCACAGTGAACAATCCTAGCATGAGGCACCCGTCCTTCAGGAGGGACAGCAAACTTGCTGAACGAAATGTAAGTATTTATTAATCTACATTCCTAAGACGTCCAGGAGCGCTTGAGGCAGAATTTGAAATGCAAGCCGCAAAACAAATCCACTTTTGTCCAGTGCAGACAGCAGGAGCAAAATAGGTCACTGGGTAATAAGTCACTTCTGAACTCTCAAAATAGCCTGCTCAAAACCTTTTAGTAGAAAGCATTGGGTGGGAGAAATTATATGCATGCTCACCAAGATGAAAGAATAGTGAAATTAATACTGTCGACCCCAGGGACCATTTCAAACAACACTGCCTCCCATGATAAACTGCTTTTGGAATGGCGATGTCAACAGTTCCACTATGCTAGTATAAGAACCTTCTGTAAGCCCAAACAACTCTGAATCCAGTGCGTGTCTGTGCATGTGTCTATAGGTATGCATGTTAGTGGTGTTGAACTCTGAAGAAGCATCTATCTTAAGTACAACTGTTACACAATAAGCAAAGGAATATGTGGTACCTCTGGTTACAAACTTAATTCGTTCCGTAGGTCCATTTTTAACCTGAAACCATTCTTAACCTAGAATCATAGAATCATAGAGTTGGAAGAGACCACAAGGGCCATCGAGTCCAACCCCCTGCCAAGCAGGAAACACCATCAGAGCACTCCTGACATATGGTTGTCAAGCCTCTGCTTAAAGACCTCCAAAGAAGGAGACTCCACCACACTCCTTGGCAGCAAATTCCACTGTCGAACAGTACTCCAGGTGAGGTCTGACCAGAGCAGAATACAGTGGCACTATTACTTCCCTTGATCTAGATGCTATACTCCTATTGATGCAGCCCAGAATTGCATTGGCTTTTTTAGCTGCCGCGTCACACTGTTGGCTCATGTCAAGTTTGTGGTCAACCAAGACTCCTAGATCCTTTTCACATGTACTGCTCTCAAGCCAGGTGTCCCCCATCTTGTATTTGTGCCTCTCATTTTTTTGCCCAAGTGCAATACTTTACATTTCTCCCTGTTAAAATTCATCTTGTTTGTTTTGGCCCAGTTCTCTAATCTGTCAAGGTCATTTTGAAGTGTGATCCTGTCCTCTGGGGTGTTAGCCACCCCTCCCAGTTTGGTGTCATCTGCAAATTTGATCAGGATGCCCTTGAGTCCATCATCCAAGTCGTTGATAAAGATGTTGAATAAGACCGGGCCCAAGACAGAACCCTGTGGCACCCCACTAGTCACTCTTCTCCAGGATGAAGAGGAACCATTGATGAGCACCCTTTGGGTTCGGTCAGTCAGCCAGTTACAAATCCACTGAGTGGTAGCATAGTCAAGACCGCATTTTACCAGCTTCTTTACAAGAATATCATGGGGCACCTTGTCAAATGCCTTGCTGAAATCAAGGTAGGCTACATCCACTGCGTTCCCTTCATCTACCAGGCTTGTAATTCTGTCAAAAAACGAGATCAGGTTAGTCTGACATGACTTATTTTTCAGAAATCCATGCTGACTATTGGTGATCACAGCATTCCTTTCTAGGTGCTCACAGACTGAGGTACCACTTTAGCTAATGAGGCCTCCCGCCGCGCGATTTCTGTTCTCATCCTGAGGTAAAGTTCTTAACCTGAGGTACTACTTCCGGGTTAGTGGAGTCTGTAACCCAAAGTGTTTGTAACCCAAGGTACCACTGTACTAACAGAGCACAAGAGCTCAATATTAAAACCGACGAAATGTTGAGGAGGAAGCCATGAGTAGCAACCACATTGGCTCATACTTATTCATTTGACCAGAGCTGCTGCAGAGGAAAGTGTTTCTGAGGAAAATAATTTCAGTATGGACAATTCTGTATCATAGGGCAAACTGCATCTAGACCAGCACTTTACCTCATGGCTGGCCAGGTGGAATGCCTGATGATAAAATACATGGATATAACTTGCTTCCTCAACACTTTTAAGTCATAGATGTTCAGAGCTGGGGTGCTAACCTTTGTCTCTCCAGCTTTAGGACTACAACTTCCACCTGTGACCATTGGCCATGCTCACTAGAGCTGATGGGAGTCCAATTTTACATCCCAGGAGCCCCTGCCTCTGGTATAGAGAGACTGGGTTGGCTCTAGACTTGGAAGCAAAACCCAACAAACTGGCATTCCCTGCAGAGCTAGGGTGAAACAAACTTTGACAAACACCTCTATCCAGGCAAACATCAGAGCAAGGGCATTCTAGTTAGGCAAAATGGGTGATAGTAGGGGCAACAAGGGTGGTGGCCTGGGCAGAGTGCCAGAAAAACTGGAGGGGCAGCATTTGCCGCCTGGGCCTAAGGTCCCCCATTCCTTTAAACAGCTGCTTTAACTGATGGCTGAAGCTGGAGAACATTCCTGTTAGGTTTGTTTCCAACTTGTCAAAACTTGTGCCCCTTACAGACCTCCTCCTCTCATTCAGATTGCAGTCCGGGTAACCGTCATAATTCTGGTCTCCTGACAGTGACTTTTCTGTGGAAAGTAGTATTTTTAGGTCTCTCTGCTCTTTTCGTGCGAAGATCTTCTTGTCAAAGCAGGAAAGAAACGGTATGCGCTGAAGTAGATAGCATTTTGCCCCGACATGCAAAAGGACAAAAAGATAATGCATTAGTATGTCTTGTCTGTTTCAATACATCGACCCTAGCTGGTGGAAATGGTAGCACAAAACACCTGACGGGTCTAGAACCTCACTTATGGGAATAGTTGTGGGCAAGTGGGGAGGGGAAGTGACATATAAAGTTTAACACCACTTTTCTCTGCTTCTCCGCTTCAAACCACTTTTTCCTGTTGCTAGGTAAAGGGACCCCTGACCATTAGGTCCAGTCGTGGCCGACTCTGGGGCTGCGGCGCTCATCTTGCTTTATTGGCCGAGGGAGCCGGCGTACAGCTTCCGGGTCATGGCCAGCATGACTAAGCCGCTTCTGGCGAACCAGAGCAGCGCACAGAAACGCCGTTTACCTTCCCGCCAGAGCGGTACCTATTTATCTACTTGCACTTTGACGTGCTTTCAAACTGCTAGGTTGGCAGGAGCAGGGACCGAGCAACAGGAGCTCACCCCATCACGGAGATTTGAACCGCCGACCTTCTGATCGGCAAGTCCTAGGCTCTGTGGTTTAACCCACAGCGCCACCCGCGTCCCTGTTGCTGCGTATTGTTGCATGGCATTTTGGCATTTGAGTTCACCAGTAGTCCTGGCTCAATCTCTATGCCTAAATCGCTCTCTGTGCCCTTGGCTAGTTTTGTGTGTGTGTGTGTGATGTCCAGTCTCTTAATTCAAAGGAACCGTCAGCTCAAATACAATTTCCATGCTAATGGAGAAGAAGGCAGGGTGGCTCTCCTGAACGTCTCCCTCTCTTTTTAAAACAGATGTGTTATTAATTGGTTCACACTCGCAAGCAAAGGAAGAAACCAATAAGACAAGTTGGGTACATGAGGTTACTTCATCTGTTTTTCTGTGCTCCAAAAATCCAAAGGTCTAGTCAAACTTCTGCTGGGCTTACTGAAACAACTGCAATTAAGAAAATAGCATGATGCTAACAGATTTGGCAACGTCTCACAAGTCTCACGATTGAAATTGTAAGGGTGGTGTCTGTTGTGTTGAGCTAATTGCAGGCTGTCTGTCATTATCTACTTGTTTTTCTGGTGTGTTCCTTTGCTTTAATCGCTAGCAGTGCATGAGAGTATTTTCATGAAACGCTCTTTAGAAATCTAATGATCTTTGGATTGGTCTTGAATGCAGCAATTTGCCACATTATCAATGAAACTCTGTATATGATATAGCCAGCAAGAAAAAAAAAAGATGCTTAATAGTGTTCCTCATTCTTGGATCTTTCTCCTTCATCTGCCTTATGGGATGCATGAGGTATGAAACAGACTTCCACCACCTTAGAAGTACTGCAAATACCGAGATATATTATACACATTCATAAGTACACACACAATTATCATGCTTGGAGAACGCCCTTGTAGATACTTATCGAGCTAAAAACTTACTAGTTTCTCAGTTTTGACTGCAACTGAAACATCGATGTTTGTGAAACACAGTAAATGCCCTAAGTTGATGATGTGAGTGAATTTTAAAAGAATGATTTGATTTCTACTTGTTATAGCAAGGGAAATTGCCATTTATGTGTCAATAGGTTCCAAAAAAATGCTATTTAGTGTTCCTCAAGTAACTACCCATGCAGCATGGGTCCTTTGGTTGATTTTATTCTCATATGTTGTAGAATGCATTGAAATGTTGTTGTTTTAAATGTGTATTACACACACACACACACACTGTGTATTTTTTTTAAAGCTTTCTGGTGAATTTATTTACCTCACACAATAGTTTTCTGTGCAAGAGCAGCTGAGTGTTTTTCCTTGGTGTGCACTCAGAGGTGATATAGTCTCATAAAGGCCCGCTTCATAGCCTTTTCAAAGACTCTGCCTTATTTTGAAGTATTGAACCTCACCGGATAGCGTCAGAGGTTTCAAAACCCTTTCTGCATACCTCAAAACTGCAGTTTCAGTTCATCTTCTTTTGTTGAGTATTGCAGAAAGTTCAGCCAAGGTTAAAGATGATGTCTCAAATAGAACTGAACCAAAATTCTTCAGAATAATTTTTTCCTGAAAAATCTCTGAGATCTCTCTCTCGCTCTCGCTCTCTCTCTGTGTGTGTGTGTGTGTGTGTGTGTGTGTGTGTGTCTTCATCAGCACAGTTCCCTCCGAAAAAGCAACCTTACAGGATTTTCTCTAAATAGTTGCCTTCCATTTGGGG